GACGATACAACTTTTTTTTTGTTTAGGTAAAGATATAGAAAAATGTTTGAGATGGTACGGAAAGAATTTGAGAAAATACAAAATTGGTTTCAACAAAACAAATTGTCATTAAATTTGGATAAAACATATTATATGATATTTAGTAACAGGAAGACAACAGTTGATTTGTCATTTAAAGTAGATGGTACTGAGATCTGTAGAGTCAGTGAGGTGATGTCATCATGGATGACAAGCTGACATGGAGACCTCACATACATTATTTGAGAACCAATATATCTAAATCTACAGGAGTACTGTATAAAGTCAGGGGGTTATTCAATGACAAGTCTCTGCTTGTGTTGTACAATTCAATAATTGTTCCACATTTAATTTACTGTAGTGAAATCTGGAGTAAAGCTTGTAAAACAATTACAAATCCGATTTTCGTTTTACAAAAAAGAGCCGTAAGAATTATCGAAAGAAAAAAATTACAACCATCCATCTAATACATTATTTTGTAAACTGAAAATTTTGAAATTGTCTGATTTAGTTGACTATAATATTTTACTGTTTATGTACAGGGCTCATAAAAACTTATTACCTTCCAACATTCAGGTAAACTTTGTTAAAAGAGACAGTTATTATTATCTTAAGGGGAAGGAAATGTTTGTGAAGCCATATTTTCGTACTTGTTTGAGAGAAAGATGTACATTAATCCAGGGTATAGTTTCATCCAGGGTATAGTTTAATCCAGGGTATAGTTTAATCCAGGGTATAGTTTCATCCAGGGTATAGTTTCATCCAGGGTATAGGATTATGGAATGGTCTGGAGGACGGTCTTAAAAATGCTAGATTAATGTATATATTTAAGAGACAGATAAAAGCAAGTTTTTGACGGTATATGAAAAATAAAATGTTTGATTTGTTGTTTGAGTTGATGTTTTATGTTGTTGTTTTTACTATTTATTTCTTTATTATTGTTTTGTAAATTATGTCTCGTTTGAATATATTCTGAGGATAAAAGGGGCAGACATAATAAGATTTATTCTTCCTCTGCTACCTTTCATTTTATTTTGATTTGTGTATTTTCTTGGTTTATTTTTTGTTATTGTATATAGTTATTTTTAATGAAGTGAATACATTTTTGAACTGAACTGAATTGAAGGCTTGCTTTCATCTAGCAGTAACAACAGTTGCAGAACAAGATGTTACAAATGTCCTGATGCATCTCAGTAATCCAGGTAAAAAATCAAGAGGAAAAAATAGTATAGGTCTTCTGGACGGGTTCTTCTTTAATAAAACATTTCGTCTCTCTTCCAAGAGACTTCTTCAGTCTGAGAGTTTCAGGCAAAAAAAGATGTTACAAATTTCAAAAAAAGGGGGGGAAATCAGATTATTGCTCCATACAGAGGTGTTGTTAGGATATTGGAACTTTGGGAACTCAGCAGTACTTGAATACGACTGTTTAAAGGGCTCGACACACGGGCAGCGACAAACTACAGCGATTAACGGCTGTCATCACAGCCAGGGTGAAACCCGACACACGG